TTAATATCAGGTGCGATTGCGGTCAAATACCTGCCTTGTTCTGCATAAAAAATGACCCTGCTATACTCAAACCCAAAACCGCCGGCTCAATAACTCAATCCACCCATCTAACTGAGTGCGCACAATCGCATGATGCATGAGCAACAATGGTGCAATTACCGACGTCGCAAAAAACCGTAAACGCTGCGATTAAGCGCACGGAGCAGGCGCAGATCACGTTCTAGTACCATCTGATACGTAGGCTGCTGTAAACACATCGTTTCTTCTAAATTGATCACTCTATAAACATAATTGGGTAGGTAATCCAATACAAAACAGGTTTATGTTCGACAGTTATTAAAGAACATTCGGTAAGAAGATAATTTGACCATTATTTTGCGGGATTGAGTAATCCTGTTCTTTTTAAATAATAATAGTAATTTGTATATTTTATACAAATTACAGTTAGTGCCGTTAGCCCCCCTTGTGCTACGTGTGGGATCGAACCCGCAGCCCTCGGAGCCGACTCGGCACTCAATTCGGAATTCCGACTGCTTACTGTGGGATATGATATGACCTTTCAGGATAATAAGTAACTTAAAAACGTAAATATTATGTTCATCAATTATTACTCTCAATGAGTAGGCATTCTGGTAGGTAATCGAAACGCAGTAAGTTCAAGACCAAATCAAGGCAAAACTCAGTTATTATGTGAGTCAAAAAACTAAAGAATTGACATATCTTAAAATGTTCATGACAGATGAAACCAAAAGAAAGAAATAGGCTTCCACAGAATACTAATTATGCAACAGTTAAAAGAACAAGTAAGCAATTTCTGTAATAACATTCAATGTATTCCGCAACAGCGATATCATCTCCGCGATCTCTCCACCTGGGCATTAGTAGTCAGTGCTCCTCGAACAAAAAAGCCGCCATTTCACACATTACCTCATCCGTTTGATATTTCAGCCATCGCTTCGCTCGCGCGTGAGATGAGTGATAAGTCACGGTACAGTACAGATGTACGCCAGTAGGCTTTATCAAACAACGCAGTACTTAGGTATCGCATATTTCAGGAAACCCTTTGCCAATTTGCTATGTAGATAAACTCTAGACATAAAAAAGACAAAATCTATCATTCACTTTCGTTTTGTTAACTTTAGAAATTATTTTGTACACTCTCATTACTCGGATTATTTCCTGGATTCGCTTGATCCTTCTCGATTGGGCATAGCTTCCTTATATATAGGTTAAGTTTTAAGTTAATTAGGCGAGTAACAGTAACGAATCTATTGGCACACAAACTCAGTTTTCTAAGGCAGTTATTTCTTTGAGAATCGGCAAGATGATTAAGCAAGCACGAGACATTTACGACGAATTTTTATAGTCTTGTCTGAAACTCTAAGTAACATTGTTTTGCATTCAAACTGAGCTTACTTTCGCTAGTTACGCTGTTGGACAGTGAGATGAGCGTTCCTTTCACTCTCGACCTTGCGATGCTCAGAAAGCACATATTAACGGCCATGTGTAATGCCCAGGGTTGACGACCAACTAAAGGTATTCTACGATTTATTGATTGGACTATAAGATCATATTATGAATCTTTAAATTGGTTATTTGGAACACTGTAGAACACATGAAAAATATATATTTTATGCTGTAATATTAGGCAATAAGTACCCTTTAGAAGTTCAGTGCCAGTATTAACAATTTTTTGACTTGATATTGAGTTTGATTTCGAGTAGGTACTATTTCGGATTTCGAATTGGTCGGATCATGCTCACAGCACCCCGCGCTTCCCTCGACCCCGCGCATCTTCGTGGATGAAACGAACTACAACTATCGGTTTCAGCCACAAAAGGAACAAAAAGGTGGCATCCCTACCATCACCTGTCGCCGTTACACCACATCGGCGTATAATTATATGCGGCCATAAATCGCGGGCTAATTGCCAGCAAGACTCCGCAGCACACGCGGCAGGATTTATTTGAAGTTAGATAAGAAGGCGGAGCATTCGGCGTCGAATTGAAACTCAGGATCATCAGTCAAGTTGCAAAAGAGAACAAAACTGAGACTTATTACGTTTACGGTATAAAATATTACGTGGTTCAATAATACACTTTATTCAAATTGGCCTAACCCATTCTTCTCGTGTATGTTGTAAGAGAAGACTAGAGGAGAGCAGGCTAGTTTCCTAAAAAAATATTATTATTATTGGACACGTACTTATACTTTTAATTGTCAATCAAACAAATAATTACAAAGTTATGGTGCGGTGAAGTTCCGCGCGACGTCTCAAAGTGTCGCACTTTTAAGCGCTCATTGACGTCACGGGCCTTTTCTTTTGAACTTTGCCGCGCTTTATCTCTTTCATTAGTTTGGAAAAGTGAAAAATACATGTTGAGTATTTTTTGATAAGTTAACTTATGGACTAATTATAAAACTCATGCTTTTTTACTCAGGAAACATCCCTATTGTGCGAACATCATGCCTCCTAAACCGTCTGACCAGAGCGTAGGCAGTGTAGTGTTCCTGAGAGATATTGACAAATAAGGAGTTTCTATACTTAAAAAGGGATCATTCTAAACTTTCTAATTGCATTTAACTACACAGGATATTGCCGTTGACAAGTGATTTAACCACAGTCATAATTGCCATAAATCAAATATGTAATAGAGAATGTGCAAGTGCATTTAAACTGCAATTAGCCCTATCAAAAATGTTCAGCGTAATATACCTAATACATAGTCAATATGGGAGAGCTATGTAAATGTAATCAAACGTGGATTGAAATTCGCGGTTAATTGCTGGTTGTACTGGGGCGTGCGCAAGAGTTGCATAATTAATGACAATCTGTTATGCAGCTTCCGAAATTGTTCTTGTGACAATTGAAATTTTAGGCTGGGTTGCACCATCTTACTTTGACATTAACAAACGTCAAAAATCTGTCTAAATCCATACAAAAAGCACCGGTTATCGTTATAGTTACTGTTAAAGTTTGGTGGTGCAAATCAGCCTTATTGTTATGAACAGACAGTACACTAGAATTTTTGTTGCAAAATAGAACCATATTACTACTATTTGAGATGCCACATTTATTGTGTTTTGTTGTCCGTACTTATAAATCAGTCTGTCTATTTTAAATGTTGTTCTAGAAAAAACTTTTTATACAGATTTGAAGTGGTCGAAGTATCCCAAATAAGGCCTACAAACAATGAAGGATTAAAAAAAAGATAAAAATTATCGAGCTTTTTCTCGTATCATCACCGCGTACTAGCAGCTTTTCTGCTGCTGTTACTGATTTGTTCATTCTATTGATTTTTGCTAATCAATAAATTAATCTGTTTTTCCCTGCAACCTCTGCTCATTGCATATTCTTCAAACTCCAAGATGCCTTAACCCTCAGTTTGCATGGTGACTAAAACTTACGTTAAGTGTAAGGTGGAGACCCTGGGACTCCACATTTCAAATGAAGAAAAAATAGACTCATACTTATAAAAGTAATATATTTTTTATTTGGTAACATAATATGGTTAATATACTATTAATTAGAAACAACAGAAATTAAAACATTAATTAACATTAATTTGAAAATTATTTTTTTCATTTAGTCGTAAAAATCACATAAAAATCGACATAGCCATTTTGTACCTCGTAAACTTAGAATAAAAAATTACCAAAAAAATTATTTCTCTAAATTATGTGGACATAACAGTCTTCTTCACAAATAATATGTAAATTGTTAGAAAAAAATTAACACGAAAAAACGTGCAATGGCTTAGTAACTAGTACGAGCAGCACATTGACTGCAAAACTTTTTTTAATAATACAAGCATTTTTTTTTGTCAAATTAATTTCAAAATAAGCAGTCTTCCTTTTAATTCATCAAAACACATCATCAAAATACAATATCATCAAAACAAATCTTTCGGGACATAAAATGTAAAGTCCTCTTCTTTTCCTTCATCCTCAGCATTTTTTTCTAGATTTCCTTATATCTGAGGCCTCATTTTCATCTAACGTGTTGATAAATTATGTATTGTGACTGTTAAATGCTTTTTGAGCCACTTAAACCGTAAATATAACCGTAGGATAAAAAAAAAACATAATTTTATAATATAATTTTTTGGTACACAAAGTGTATGGTGGAGTCCACGGGACTCCGCAAGTGTCAATTACTCACCTTTCTGTGATGCGCATGCACACGACCTCTCGCCCCCGAGTTGGCCAAGACACCAAAGGAAGCTACTCAAGCAAACAGCACTGTATTCGCGTATTGAAAAATTTTATGGACCAAAACAGTTTCACATGGAGTCCCTGGGACCTACCATGCAAATTGAGGGTTAACCACTCACAGCATAGCACTATCCAAGATGCCCTCACACTTGACGCAGCCAGTTCTAAAGAGGTTATACTTTATTCATGTGCCGTTTTCGCTTAACTTCTCGTTTTATTAATATTTGCATAATCAGATTGCGTGTGCCATGGATTACCATAATATTTTCCATGCGTTTCAGCTCCAAAGGACTCAAGTTGTTTCGAGGGATAAAAATTTATTTTGAATTTTAGCCAGATATAGTACCTACTAAATTGGAGGCAAATTGGAAATATGCTGATGTGATTAAGACACCCATTTAAGACATGATTGGAGACAGGCTTTTTTATTAAAATTGGATGATGATTATTCAATTCGATTCCAACAAATCAACATTTGTAAGGAATTTACATAGAACATGTTTTTGAATCAAGAAAATAATTTTATAATTTTTAAAACACATTATGCATTACTTTTATATATCAGTACCAAAACCCTCAACCCAAAAATTATCTAAGTAAAACGTCTAATACTTAACTCCTAATTTCTGAACCGTAGACCCAATTGGGAACGTGCGAAGTGGGTGGAAGGGTTAAAGAAAACGATCGCTGCGCTCGTCGCGGCACAAATGTGTAACATTATGGGCAAGGGAAGCAAACAAACTTGTCTTGTCATTGTCAATGTTGTTTTGATTTTAATGTTATTGTGTTAATTTATTCAATTTTATTGATGATATTGTACATGTATGTTGTGTTTTAGTTAATTTACAGCCTCCAATCTTTTCCAAGAGTAATACTGTTGTAAAAGGTAAATAAAATTCAACTGTCGAAAAACATAACTGTTTTTTATTTTATAAAGTTCTGCACTTATATTTTTATCATTATAATATTAAATTAACACTTTCTTATCAGTATCATTACTGCAACACATCCAAACATAAGAAGTTAGCATAAATTGGAGATATTTGACGTAATATAGATTGTGGTTCACAATAGTCAGTCTTAGATACTGATCCAAACATATCTTGAAAATAGCTCCCTTTGGAATATTTACAAGCTCCAAATTGACGAATAATGGGTTCTCCCCATTGATGTTCGATGCTCGTTTTTAAATTACTAACTTTGTTGTTAATGCAACATATTAAAGCAGCAACATGTTTGCACTTGCTGCTCTGGTTATAAACGCAGCTGCATTTTACTCCTGTGACAACCCTAGCATGATCGATCTGTAATAAATGCAATGAATATTAATTTTATTACTTTCTCTAAATCTTTAGTCATATTTTTAGGTTAGGTGAGTACTTACGTTTAAACTTGTTTTATAGGGTGTCGAGGTCACCGATGTTTGACGAATGATGGTGGCTCAATAAATAACTATTGCCATTAGTTCTCAGCTCTTCTACATTCCTCACATGCTCTGCTAGCACCAATTTTTTTCCTTTTAGCTGAGTTTGTGGTTGGAAACATAATGTGTGTTTTACACACTCAAAACCAGTTTTTATAATGACGTCCATTTCTCCGTAAACAGTTTTTATCAAATTACATTCAACGTACCATTTATTGTCTTTTAAAGTATATTTTATTTACTCTAATCAATAAAAATAAGAAAGCTGTTGTTATTTATTTTTTGACATATGCCCCTTAAAGTTTCGTTGGCAGATGGCGCTAGTGTCGTGCACGTTCCCAATACACGTGCTTTCAATAGATTCAAAGAACTGAAAAAGCCACGTTAGAGGTTAAATCATAATTTTCTCCGTCCAAATAATAAATAAATAGTTGCACTAAACTGGGCAGAATTGCGTTCTGATTGAATCCCGTCGCCCACAGATTTCCCGCGGGAGGGCACTTGTTTCGTGTCGCCGATGGTTGTTGATGTGGCGGCCATTATTTTATTCTTTTTCTGAAAATGTACACTTATTTATTTTCTTTCATAATAGTTTTACTTGTAGGCACGCCCAGAAATATATTTTTAAATGTTGCGATGAAACAAAAACATATTTAAAACTAAAGTATAAATAAACTAGAAAAAATCGAACTACCTAAGGCGGGTATCAAACCCACGACTCTAATCGCTAAGAAATTTTAATATTTCAAACTATTTTAGTTTCCTCACTAGTATTAGTTTATAACTATTTTTAGAGGCTTGTAATAAGTAAGTGTAGAAAAATATTTTTTACGAATAAAGTTAACAAAATCTCCTAATCCTACCTTTAAATGAATAAAATTAATCCTACAGTTCGGAGAGTCGTTTTACACGAAAATTGACCCTCTTTTAAGGAAAAGTTACACGTGCCTGTTTTATTATTTGCCCTTTCCTTCATTGTGTGGAATAGTACCGAGTAGAACAAATTAATTTACTAACTTGAGCATCAAATCAAGATTTTAGTGACTGGCTGAATTTCAACATTTCACAGATACCTACTTGACTTTAAGACCGAAAATTCGATTCAGATATAGAATTTTAGTTCGTTTCAGCCAAATGACGTTCACTGCTGGACAAAGGCCTCCCAAGGATTTCCATAAGAACCAGTCCTACGCTGCCCGCATCCAGGTTCTTCCCTTCCCGCGATCCCTTCATCAGATCGTCGGTCCACTTAGTGGGGGGCCCGTGAATTTTAGTTCGTAATCAGATTTTTTTTAGTTTTCAATGTCTGTAAGCAAATCATCATCGTAATATCGTAAGACATCGTAAAGGTAGCAGGGAAGCGCTGGATGCAGGCCGCTACCAATCGATCAACGTGGAAAGCATTGGGGGAGGCCTATGTTCAGCAGTAGACGTCCTATAGCTAAAATGATGATGATGATGAAGCAAATCATATTGACTTGATTCCATTCTTGACAATCGTTTTAGAATAGAATATAAAGTGGAAAAATTCATAGTTCCGCGTCAAATCTATTTTTGTTTGTCCCTACTCCCAATGACGCACAGCACAGATTTGAGTCTTATAACAGCATTACCCGCCGTTGTCAGCCGTGACGAGCGCGGGTTCGACTCCTGGAGGACGCGCGTGACCCGAATAGCGCCCGTGTTGTGACAGAATGGACAGGGTTTGGGGACAGAGAAATAAATAATCGTTATGTTGTTAAGTCTTCAAAATGTTGTTATGAATTTGGGGATGGAAAGATTTTGATACTTATGGCTCAGGCAATAAAGAGCCAGTTCCAACAGTTTCCGTTAAGTTTTGGGTGGATAGAGAGAAAGAAAAAGATAGCGTTATCTAAGAAATATTAGTTGCTGGTTACCAAAGTATCCGAGAAAATAAAGGACTATAGTTAGGCTATAATAAGGTTATAGTTTATTCACAAAAAAAATAGTAAAGATCCTTTATCGGCAAATAATAAAATTAGGACCCAAATCTAGGTAGGACAGAGTAACATTGTAGCAGATTATATTTGTCTTGCGGAAGAGATCCTTCAATATGTTACCTAATTGAAACCCTAGATTAACGCCCGTATTCACAAACGATGCTTGCTTAAGTGAAGCAGCAAAGCAATTGAATAGAGCGGTGATTGGTTCGTGTGTTACCCTGTGCGACCTCATAGTAATGTTTGTGAATACGGGCGTAAGACACACTTCTAAGGCCCAGAACAGACGGTGAAACGCAACTGCAACGAAACTGCAACTGCTATTTACTTTTGAGTTGCATCTAAGTTTCTACCATAGCGTTCGTTGAGAGACCACACATGACGCGACCAGTTTGAAACTTTCAAAGTTGCAGTTTCGTTGCAGTTGCGTTTCACCGTCTGTTCTGGGCCTAACACGACTTACAAAGATCACGTTGTGTTTCAATTACCAGTTTGATTAAGACAATGCACGCACGACCCAAACTAATTGTATGGTGGTATAGACGCAGTTAATTCCGTTATCCAATACTTATTATACACCAGACCGACTGTGATTTTGCGACATCGCGTAACACTTTCGGGTGTGCAGTTTTAGAAACTCATTGTCATTTCTTTGTCCGAGTCACGGATGTTTGAGACAATGCTGAATGTATCGCCGTGGCCAATCGCCACCAACCAGAAGCTGGACTGTTTCGGAGCTATAAATGGCACCCATTAGCTGGACAGGTTTTAAGTCCTGTGGAAGCTAAGCTTGATAAAGCTGTAGTGGTGTTACATAAGTTAAATTGCTTACGGGGAGCTGAAAGCACGAAATTTGGGGCATTAGAGACAGTTTTTAGCGCTATTTCGTCCATGACTTAGAGAAATGTGCATAAAAAAATGTGCGCGTAAAAATGTTAAACTATAAGCTATTGTACCTATTAGAAGTTTCTTTGCTGCAACTGGAGTCTTTCAGCAAATACCGTAAAGACAAAGGTAATGAAGAGAAGTGAAATGTAAAGAATTGATGCAACGCTAGTATTGCAGTAGATAACTCAACCACATTATATCAAAATATTTTAGGATGAGTAAAATATTACTAATCAAAATGAAACATGATAATTATATCTGCGTGAAGAAAACCCAATGTGCAAACGGACATTTCGCAGCGTGCAAAATATTACTCAGTGTTATCTTTTACAAATCAAAATAAGGCAAATATTAGGCAAAGATTCCCAGCGGTGCGTTAAATCAGTCATTAAATCATTATTAAATACTTAAATATTGCATTGTTAATACGCCAATTAGCTGATATCCAATTTTGAAACAATGAAACCAATAAGTTAAAACGAAACATTTATTGCAATTTAAAATAAAAATCAAGGTTGAACTACATAAATTATTGTTTTCAGCAGACATAATTATAGCATTACATAGTGCATTAATTTTATTTCAGTTTTGTTTTGTTCGGTTAAAGTGAAGTGGTGCGGTAATTCTGAACGAAAGTACGAGTAGGTAATTCAGGTTTAAATACATTCGCCAAAACTACTAATAATTATCAATACTACACAATTACCCATATTTTGGTAGAGTCGGTAGCTCACTTACATACAGTCAAAGAAAGCAATGTAAATGATTGTTTATGACTTTTACCCGCGATCCTATTTCCACTCATTTAAATGGCAATAGCAAACACTTTTTATAATACTCGTAAGTGCACTATCTTTGCGAACCCTTTATAGTAATTGTAATAAATAACTTTATAATATCTTATCTCTCTTATTTATCAGTCAATTTATCTCATAGTATATCTTCGCCCGCAGTGTCGCAGCAGCGTTTGAAGAAGAAAGGCAACCTCGCGAGGCCGCGTTGCGCTCTGCCATCCGGCCTCGCCGCGATTTCAGGAGACATGCGCGTGCGCATCCACCTTATTACACCGTAATAAGCATCAATATAGCACGTCAACTTCAAACCCGTGCAAAATGCTCTCTTGCTCAAAACTTCGGCCTTCGCGTTCTTGTTTCTGAATCAGCGATGAGTTCCTTTTTGATTTGAGAGTATTGCACATTGAGCATTGGCAGTATTGCTAAAGTGCAGCGTTTATTTCATACTAGTGATGTGTTGGGATTATTCGCTAGATTATAATAATGGTGTGGCACTAAAGAGTGACAAACTCAAAAGTAGGGAGAAAGATGGGTGTGGGTACAACAACATCCGAACTCAATTTCATGCGTATGTAACGGTTTGTCGGTTTCCTGACCTTTTCACAACTAATCCGTAGTAGCAATTTTGATGGAACGGTATACCTACCTAAAAATAGATAGAGCTTAAGACAAGACCTTCTGGGAAAGAAGGTGCGAATAGGGATGGAATTTATTGTTCCATGAATAAATCTAAAAGTCGACAATGTTAAACATGTTTTTGTGACAGCCGAAATTCATGCTGCATCACGTCAATCCTATCAATATGAAATCAACAGATTAAATTTTATTTGCTACGGTTTCAAATCAAATTAATTTTGTTGTCCAAGTTTCCATTTTCCTCGTTTTCACAGGATAGATTTGTGCTCTTATAGAATGTCAAACACATCATCACCATGGGAATAAGCACAAAAGGAATTGCGTGAGAGATTTTCATTTGGGACATAAAAATAGCACCCCATGAAAGGGACTGGCAAATGAAATAAACATTTCGCCCATAATTTGGCCGCGAGTCGACTGTCGCCATTACACATTAGAAGTGCGGGTAGGTACTGAAGTGAGGTTTACACTGTACTATTATTTTGATCTCCAACCCGCCTGCCAAGCGTGGGGATTATGGCAAAACCCTTCACTATAGAGGAAGCTCATAGTACAGCAATGGACTGTAAACAGCTGTTGATGATGATGATGATTATTTTGATATAATTAGATCTTTATATGGCAAAAAAAAATCACCTATCGGAGGCCATGACACACATTTGATCGCCATCGTAGTAAGTCTAGGCGCAGACCACCAACTTTTACTTGGCCAATAGTTGGACCTGATTCTACTTTGTATGAAGAATCGGCCGACACCAAATCGGTTTAATGTGCGCACTTTCATACATGCCCATATTGATTAACAGCCTGACCCAACTATCTGC